CAGTGTCGAAGGCCTTCCGAAAGTCCAGGAAGACTATGTCCACTGCTACCCCTGCATCTAATGATTTGGTGATCTGATCATAGAAGGCCACTAAGTTGGTCTGACAGGATCTGCCACTGATGAACCCGTGTTGGTTGCCCCTAAGCATGAAATCTCCTGCTGGCCCCTCATGGATGTGTGCCAGCATAATTTTCTCGAACAGCTTGCCTAGGATTGAAGTAAGACTAACTGGCCTATAGTTTCCCGGGTCCTCCTTCTTCCCCTTTTTGAAGAGGGGAACCACGCTGGCCCTCTCCCAGTCCTCTGGCACCACACCAGAGCACCATGAGTGCTCGTAAAGCCGTGCCAGGGGTCCTGCAATGACCTCAGCCAATTCCTTTAGTACTCTAGGGTGGAGATTGTCTGGACCGGCTCACTTGAATACATCCAGTCCCTCCAGAAGCTCCCTAACTAATTTCTCAATAACCCTTGGCCTAGGTGTGCCTCCCCTGGGGCCTGAGGGGGACCCAGCGGCGGGGGTGGCTGTTCCCATCCCTGCTTAGGAAGATGGAGGCAAAGAAATCATTAAATATGTTGGCTTTATCGTCTGGTGTGACGACCAAATTTCCTAATGTGTCCTGCAGGGGCCCCACATTACCCAGAACCTTCTTTTTACCCCCTGTATATTTAAAGAAGGACTTCTTATTGTCCTTAATCCGGGAAGCTAGTCCCAGTTCCATCTCTGATTGGTTGCAACTCTAATATAGCAGACCTAACCTACCTTCTCTCATATACATAATTTTCCCCTCTACCCATCATCTTTGTGGTGGAACCACACAACTGCTTTATCTATTGAACAATGTGCTCTGTCTTGGCACTCCCGCTCTTAGGTTTACAGCAGTGACATGCCACAAACCTAGTCCCAGGGTATGGATACCTTGGCAATCTTACACTCATCACCAAGGGGTCACCCCCTCTTTCCTTCCCTCCCTCCCCCCAACATGGCACAGATCCTCACAGAAGATCTGAGAAAACCATAAGACTTCTATACGATTATGGCAACTTTGATCACATCTTCTAGAAGCAGCTGTGTGTTTGTTCCACGTGGGCAACCACCAACCAACAAAATCACCTGAATGTCACCTTCTGTAACACTTAACTCAGTCACAAGAATTTCCCAAAATAACTCAGAGTAGCTCTGGATCATAGCCCCACACAGTGCCAACATCTAACAAATATTAACACAGTTTAGGAACAATATAATCCACACAACAGCCAGAACCAGCTGGAGAGCAAACTGTTATACATAGATGAGGTAGCTACCACCACCTTCATTTTCTCAGCAGAAAAATATAGACTCCTTTTCTTCACACACATCTGCTGATACCCAGAGGTGTTCTGGGGACTAAGAAAGGTTCAGGGAACCTGTCCCACCAAAAGCAAGTAGTGCAGAGAATAGGTTTAAACAAATTTTAATAGTAAGGTTAATATTCAAATACAACTGGTATATGAATGATAAAGCAATATAGATAAAGCATTTCAAACCAAATATTAAAAATGCTGCCAAAAATGAATATTTGATTGTTTACAATAGAAAAAAAAATCATTTGAAATATATTAAAGCCCAAAATCTTAAAAGCTTCTAATATGTGGCCTGTCTGCTAATGGATAGAATTTCTTACATTGGCGTAAAAGCTAAGTTTTAAAGAAGGGCTTATCTTGATTTAACCACAGTTCAAGGCTGAACAACAAAAATTCCAAAGACAAATATAGATTTTTATAATTAATGACCTGGTTCAACTTCAAAAGCTTGTTAAGGAAGACTAGAAAATACAGAAATGTACCTAATAAGTTATATTCTGGCTAATACCATTTACCTATTTTTATCCCTTATATAAACTATGCAATGTCCTAAACCAGACCTAACTGGTATAAAACCACTTAACCAACTGTAAGCAAAAACTTTAGTCAACCTCTGACCTGTATCTCACATTCTGAAAGCTTATTGCTTCTGATATCCTCTCACCTGCTTATTTCCTTTACCCGCTCATCTCTTACCCAAACTCTGGTCAAGCAGATGCAAGCAAATACATCCATTAAGCAGCTTAGGGCCTATTACAGTCAAATCAACATCCCTTTGAAGAGAATAAGCTACTACGCAAGATCAAGATAATGCAAAAAACAAACCCAGACTTGCCCATTTTTAAGGATCTCTAAAACCTCCTGAGATGCTGCTTTGAGTCCAGGAACCTCTTCTAGTTAATAGTCAAAGCTCACAAAACCTCAGGACTGTCACAATACAAATGGCAGAGGTTGCAGGAATCCTACAGAATGCTATTCAAGAATTAAGACCCAATCACAGACTCAACAGATCCACCATGCCTCATAAAAATCTATCACTATGTAGAACATACCTGGAAAATGAAAGGGAGCCCAAATGCAACCAGGGAGAAGAAATCTAAACTATGGAAGACCTATTGAACTGCCGCCCCCTTGCATCCTTCTCAGAAGATGCAGTTGTGATTCATTTTACATTGGTAAAAGCCAAGGAACAAATGTCTAATTTGGATGCTGACCTTTAATGTTGTTTTTCAAGCTGTTATGCAATCCCCCTCCACCCCCAATTTTATCTTGCCTCTATTCCTACAGAAATAGGCTATGGCTAAACCAGTCTGGACTTGTGCTATTCATTCATTGAGTTGATAACTAAATGAGAGCACTGCAATTACTGACTAATCTCTAGCTACCCACATATCTGCATACCATGAAATAACAAAGTTTGTAGACATGGGATGCACTCTTTGGTAAGGGCAGTAATGGAGAAGAGAAAACCAAACACTGATGAGGCACTATGTGTATTGATAATGTCAGTTCCAAGTATGTAGACTTCTTCCATTTATATCTTACTGTAAGTCCTGAGCTACTGAAAGATCTTGTTCTTATGAGGAGTGTCACAAAGTAGCAGTGTCAAGGTGTAGCTGGATTTATTTTTCATTCCATTAGTACAAAATAGTTTGAAACAGAAACGAGTGGTAGAAAGTTGAGGAACATCTGATGAATTTAGAGGCTTTTTGGTAGCCATCCATACAATGTTATTTAGCTATTATTTTTAGTTTAAAAAAAAAAAAAAAAAATTCAGTCCAGAGGTTCTGATTAAAGCTTTTCACAATAGTTAATATACACACAGATTATATGCCCTTTTCTTTTCAGGTTAAAAATTATTTGGATGGAACTGGCCAGACAATACATTTTGCTTCAAAGGATACAAGCAACTTCAGTTCTGAGGCTGAACTCTGGTGCAGATTCATGGGACTAAGACGGAAGATAAATAGTTTACCGGCACCTTACGAAAGCTTAGCAGATTTTGTTAAATCTGTTTTAAACAATGTCTTCTAAGAAAGGAACAGCAGCTGTTTTGTAGTTTTACATATAAACAGAAGAGAAGTTAGGAGGGGTGGGAACTAGGGACATTAAGATAAACAACGGCATTAAATGGATGAAAGCCCTACATTTCTGGAAAATATCACAGCGTCTCTATATGTATCTTTCATATTCGCATTTCACCTTAAATATTTATGATTCTGCAGGGCTGGCAATTCACTCTAAACATTCAATGTTAGTTGTTATATTTGCTCTTTCAATACTGTGAAGATATACTTGATACCATTGGGATTTTTTGTTTCAAAAAAAGAGAAAGGGCACTGACCAAACACGGTAAGTTCAAGGTCTTTTCTGGCTTTGCCCAGCGACGGGAAAGGGTTTAACCAGGAAACTGTGGAGTGCATCAGAAGTTCTCCCATAGAAAGTTCTGTGACCTATATTATATTACAAACAAGAAATCCAATAAATGTTTTGAGTAAAAATCACCAACCATAAATTTTAATGAAAACTGGTTGATAACATTATGTTTATATAGATATATACTGAGCCAGGCAGGTATAAACACCATTATATTAAAAAGATATACCCATAAACAAAATAACATGCACATTAGGAAAGACAGGTGATTTGCCTCCTGGGGATTTTTTCCCCCCCCATTACTAATATTACTGCTGAAGGCTATCAAGTCTGACCTGAAGTTCAGTCATGGACATACAGCTGTGAAGTTTGTTTATTATCTCTCTAATTTCAACGGGCTAATTAATGGGCACCAAGGAAAATGTTAGAACTCTAAGGTGGTGAGCACCCTCAACTCCCAAGGAGGAAGCCATTATGACTTAATCAGGATAAGGGCATGCAGTGTCTTGTAGGATTGTGTCCAGACTTAATAGACTATGCTACTTGTCCTCTTACCTCCTTCTCTGTTCCGCTTTGATCTGCAACTAGTTGATCAAACACAGTACCATAGTCCTCATATATCTTCTGCATCTCATTGATATGACTGGCTACTTTTTCCATTGCTTTTAGTGCTTCTGTAAGTGTTTAAACAAAGCCACCATTTAACACATAATTAAGTCAGCTTTGTTTTTATAAGTGCACAATCTATTTTATTAAATCCCATTAGAGCCTGGTAAAAATATGTCATTTATAATTACATACAATTATAATTATATCCAGAACTGCAATGGCCCATGACCAACAATACTCCAGGACGAGAGCAGTACAAAAGTAAAGACAGGAATTGATCAGTATATGCAGAGATTGCTTAACCTGATGTTTTAGGTACCCAGGGACTATGAAAAAAATATCATGGTAAGGAGAGACATAGTATGTTAACATTTAGTGCAATAGCATGATAAGGACAGATATGTTGCGATGCCTTTTATATAAATAAGACTCAAAACATAAGCCTTGTAGGGCAGGAGTGTCAAACATGTGGCCCACAGGCTAGATCCAGCATGCAGAGCTACTCTGTCCAGCCAACTAGGCCGTGGAATCCGGGGGCATGGCTGGAGCAGGGAGGTAGATTTTGCCTGTGTGAGGGTCAAAGCACTCAGCTGTACCTGAAAAAGGCAATCTTTTATCTTCTGAAAGGGAGGAAGTAGTAGCATACCTAGGGCAGGGTGAGTGAGGCACTAGCTCTGGGTGCTGACTATGAGGGAGCATCAGAATCCCCTCCTCTGAGCAAAGATTTATATGATATTCCCTACTTTATATGGACTTCCTTGCCCAATCATAGGAGCCAGGCAGTGCAGTGCTACCCTCAGCAGTGTATTGGGGTTGTTGGGGAAAGGAAGATGGGACAAGTGGGGCCAACTGAATGGTGCTCCTTCCTCCAAGACACTGCCACAGCAGACACAGCCTGTACCCAATATCTGTGTATTTAGGGAGGAAGAGGGAAAGGGAACAGGACATCCCCGGGAGCCCAGCCACAGAGCTATAACCATTAGAGCTGATGCTACTACAACAGCAGTAGTCCAGACAGGTAAGACTTCCCTTCTCTTCAGCCACAGCATCCCCCTCCCTCCACAGTTGTCAGACTGCCCTCATCCCTTGGGCACTCAATGAGTTTGATATGCTTCTGGGAGGAAGCACTGAAATGCACCACTTCTAAAACAAGGGTTACAGGCATGCTGCTCACTGAGAGCAAACCTGTCTTTCACTGGGTGCCTGAGCTTTCTGACACAGGCATAATTATAACCAAAAGGTGGAGCTTCCTTTGCCCAAAAAAAGTGCACACTGACTGGTCATGATGGTCTGTCAAGAATAATACAGAGAAAGAAGCTTGAGTACATTCATTATGGCAGTTCTGGGCTATTCCCATTTTTCAAAGGTATCTCTACACACTCAGCACATGGCAGCAGAAAAGGGCTTGCTCTTTTATCATGCATTTTTAAAGGCAGTGTGAAAGGGTGAGAGCTGGAAGAGATTTCTTCTTTCTCGTTTTTGTGAAACATTTGAACTTTGTAATGCCACAGGAATTATACTGGCATGTAACAGTTCCATCCTTTTAGGGAGGCTTTGAAATGAAATTAAAACTCACTTTAGTCCCTGCCACGTAACCAAGACAATTACCTGTCAGATGATAATGCTCCTCACTCTCATTATCAGTTAGGGACACCAGCTCTTTTAGGAGTAGGGGATACTTCAGCACTCTCTGAACAGGCTTTATGAGATATGACTCCAGTGTCGAAGAATGCTGTTTTGTGGGGTTCCGCGCATCCAGAAAGGCTTTGAAAGCTTTATCTGTTTTGGCTTAACACAAAAAAAGATATGTCTGTCAGTTCCATGCAGAAGCCATAAAAACCAAAATTAATGTGAAACCAACATAACATAATGTAGCAACTTTATTTTTTTAATGATCCTTTTCATGTGTATTTATTAGAGTGCTTTTCTTGGCTGTTTAGTGAGGAATGGCTTTAATAGCATCATAAACCTAAAATAAACACAACAGATTCTGCTTCATTACATATAAAATATTTGATACTTTTGCTTGAGACAAAGAAAGCATTTGATGCCTATTCAATTAATTTTACCTATTTTTCTGCATGTTGGCCTCTATTACATTTAAATCTGTGTAAACCAGAACTAGAAAAAAAAATCTAAGGTCAGTCAGTCAATAATGCAAAGATGGAGCATTATGCAGAAACACAGCCCCTTGTAACAATTTACCAGAACATTTGAATTATGAAACATTTTTGCAATCTGGTGAATGCTCACATATGGATTTTTGTTGTTTTAAATGAACTAGCAAGTTTCACTTTTGGAGGCATACTTAACACCTTTCCTGTCATTAACCACCCCATTGGCCATGTTACCCATCCATTCAGCAGCATCTCTAAGAGAAAGGGAACTGCTTTCTTAGGCATGGGATTTTCTTTTTGTTATTCACATACTCGTGGTCAAATGAAAGAGCATAATGGAGTATAAGATGCAACCAAAAAGCAATTTGCATAATTTCTAATTTATTTGGCAGCAAGTCTTTTAAAAGCTAACAAAAAACACATGGAGTGAACTGCAGCACAGTGCCACATTATGACTGGGACTTATGGTTCATGTTTCCAGTCTATTTTTTTTCATTTTGAAACTTTTCCCCATTCCATTTATTAATGGTCTGCTTATTTGGATCATTTTGTTGGGAAAAAGCTATGCAAGCAACAGGAATCTATCAGTTGGCACAATTCTCCCAAAGCACTGCAAAGCTCTCTTAAACCAAAACAACGTACTGCATCTCAGGATGAAGATCTTAACCCACATTTAGTGTTCTGCACTTTTGAGTGACATAACCATGTCTGAATATGCACATGCACCCCACCCCCAAATATAGAAGATCTAAAAGCTACTGTTTTCAAGTGCAAGCTGCATCTGTAAACAGCACCAGCTTTTAGGGGGAAAAAAATCAGCTGCTCTTCAGGCTACTTCATAGGTTTTAATAAAAAATGATTTTCCTCAGATTGTTCCCTCAGATCAATATCATATTTCAACATGGGGGAAGATCACAAATACTCACATTACAAGACCTCCCACTCCCCCCTTCTTTCATATTAATACCCTTATGAGACATACGTCTCAAACTGATGTAGTACACTGATTTATTTGAAATTGAAGTCAAACAAATGAATTACAATTGTGACAATAAAATTACCTCTCTCAAGAACCTTCTGCACTTTGATGTGGTTTGCACAAAATCCACTGTAGAGCTTAAAGTGGTCAGCATAATACAGAAAAGAACCGCCAAGTGAAAACAGCAGTTTCTGAAACCAAATGCAAAGTATTTGTTAAATTAATTTTCTTAAAATATTAATCAAAGGCTCAGGCACCATTTGGCTGGTTTCAGTTAATTTATAGCAAGTCCCCGTTTTCAGGCTATGGCAACTTGCCTTCTTAATAATGTGGGAGAGAACATATTCTCTACATGAAAACATAAATTTGCAACAGAAGGATATTAGTGAACGTTTCTACTCTGAAAACTGCATAAGTAGCATAATGTTATTGTGTTTCAATAGCTTTCCTATTAACATGCTCAATTTACAAGTAAATAAGATGGTTGAAGTACATTGTTCCAAAGGGCTAGTGCTCTATAAGTATCACAGCCTTTCCAAAGTGTGAATTTATTGGTGAGAAGATCAGTTATATACACTACATAGAGCCTTGCTGCCTTGGGACATAAATCCAAATCCAACTCATGTCAATAGTCAAAATCAGTTTTCATCTGACCACTGGTTCAGTAAGTTTGCATGAAAGGAGCTAGTAGTTTCAAGCTAGACCCCAGTGGGCATTACCACACACCACCACCACCACAACTGATGGTCACTCTCAGCAGTGAACTCATATATTGCAAGGACATGGAGACAGACTCTTCTCACTTGCCTGTGTAGCCCCGCCAGGTCAGGTTTGAAACTGTCAGGAAACCTGTGTTCTCAATAGAAAGTTTCACTTTCCAGCATTGCCAAGATGACACATTTGACAAGCACTATGTTCACTGTACAAAATAGCCTTATTTCAAAAGAAAAGTTGAACTTTCCACGTATAGATTATGAACCTTTTGGGAGCAAGCTAAGAAAATATAGAACGAGTAGAGATTTAACACAGCAATTATGTACCATCTTACTGTACTTGACAGAGTAAGCCAAGAAAATCACAGTAGCTGTAATAAAAATCCAGTGTTTATTATTCATTACACCTCCATTTGTTATCACCAATATGTGTAGAGAGCTAGAGCCAGTGGGAACCCGAGTACTAATTTAGAAGTGTGAAGATACCACTTTTCCTACAGATGTCAAAATAACTGTCAGATGACCTGTTTGCTTCTTTTCCTAGGTATGTGTAGGTCAGTTACATCAACCACTTTATCTTTGATTTGTTTCTCTGCCAATGGTATCATATCATGGCATTAGTTCTGCAAAAGCCAACTACTCAGATCAACTACCATTTGAATAGGCATTTGTCAACTGCTGAGCAGCAAAACATGTTATCTTAATGGAGCTCCACATACCTTACAGGACTCCATTCCTGCACTGCTGCATGCAAACTAACGTGTTCATTTGGGGCCATGTCCTATTCCACTCAGGGGCATGTAAGTTGACTTGGATACTTAAATGCAATTGTTTCATCCCATTCAAGTCCCTGGAAACCCATTATATACATCTACTTTTGTAACACACCATCATGTTACCCTTAAGACTGAGTCACAAAAAAAGAGGAAGAGAAGAACCCACACATCTTTTGCATTAACAGTTTTTCCAGGACTCAAGCAGGGTGTAGTGGAATTTCACTAAGGCACCTAAATCCACTTACATGCTTAATAGGTGGAACAGAATATGGGCTTTGATCTTCAAAAGCCTTGCTCAGCTGTTGAAAGAGTAGTGAAGTTTACTATATACTTTGGCAGTACTGCTTCTTATGCAAGAATCAGTAATTCTCTATGCTTTTCAGTACAGGTTTGTTAGCCAAAGCCAGCCATGCTGTTCTTCTGTAGGCAACAGCTTTTAAGAATAGCAACTAATCAATTCCAAACTTTCAGGAATTAATATTTTAGGCATCAGTGAGCAGAACCCTACTGATACTGATGAAAACTCGGAAACCAGGAAAAAAACTGCTTTCTACTAAATAGTTATACAGACTCTGCATGTGAATTAGGTCAGGAATTAGTTCATGAGAGATCTTTCACAGCCTGCAGCACAGCAAACAGGCAGTATGTGGGCCTGATTTCAATGGAAAACAGACTATTTGAAACCAATCACACATCCATGCCCAATCTGCCCTAACCTCTCCATTCCCCCTCCCAGACAGATTCCTTGCCTCCACTGCATCTTGGCAAATGAACAGTCACTCTAGATAGTTTCCCTAGCTGGGCCAACCATAGAAAACTAGGTCTGAAATGAACTTGCAGAGGTCATCTAGTCCAATCTCTTGTCTGAAGCAAGATCAGCCGTATCCAAACCATAATCTAAACTCTATATAAAACTACCATCAACCATGACACAACACAGACTTTATGCTCTAACCTGCTATAGGTAAAACAAACAAAGCATGGCAACCAATGTCCTTCTATTAAATGCTGTCAAGAGATCTCAGGTAATGGGCCATGCCTCCCACAGTACATACCAATCTGACCATGGGGTAAAATCCCTTCTTGATCCCAAATATGGTGATTGGTCTGAGTTGGGGGGAGGGGGGTGGACAAGGCCCTCTAGCCAGGAACCTCCAGCTTTGGTCCTAGCAGGAGCACTGGCGCACCCCAGTCCAAGTCCCCAGCTTGGGCTGCAGCCAACACCCAATGTGCCTCTGAGGAAGGCTTAAAAACACCCTGACCTGTAGCAGAAAGGCAGGGAGGAGGTAACCAGCAAAGACCAGAAGCATGGGAAATTCCCATCGTAGAACATTGGCATAGCTATGCCTGGATCATTCCTGACCATGGCTGTCTAATGTTTTCTTGAATACCTCCAATGATGGAGAGTCCACAATTTCCATACACAGTCTGTTCCACTATTCTCACAGTGAAGAAGTTTTTTCTTGTATTCAATCTACATTTACTTTGTTGCAACTTCAAGCTATTGGTCTGCATCCTCCTCTCTGCAGATAGAGAGAAAAAAAGTGTTTTCCTTCTTTATGGGCAGCCCTTCAAGTATTTGAAGACTGCTACCATGTCCCCTCTTAAGCACGTTTTCCACAAGCTAAACATGACTAGCTCCTTCAGCCGCTCCTCATATGACTTCCTTTCTAAGCCTTTTATTATCTCTGGTGCCCACCTCTGGACCTTCTAAGTATTCCACATGCTTTTAAAAATGTGGAGCCTAGAACTGCACACAATACTCCAGATGAGGCCTAACCAGGACCGAGTAGAGAGGCTCTGTGATCTCTCGTATCTTGCTTCTATTGATGCACCCCAAAACCACACACCTTTTGTGCAGCTGCACCACACTGCAAACTCAAGATGAGTCTGATCTACCAAGACTCCCAAGTCTCTTTCCATAGTGTTGCCCTCCAGCCAGGTGTCACTCATTTTATATTTGTGTTTTTGATTATTGTTTCTGAGGTGTAGCACCTTGCATTTGTCCACACTGAACTTCATCCTGTTAGCTCTAGCCCAACTTTCCAGTCTGTCAAGATCCTTCTGAATCATGCTCACATTCTCCAAGATGTTTGCAATCCTTCCCAGTTTTGTGTAGTCTGCAAAATTGCTCAAGAAGCTTTCTATGCCAGCATTCAAATTGTTAATAGATACCTTGAACAGACCCGGTGCAGACCCCTTTGGGACTCCCCTCAAAACCTCCTGCCATTCCAACATGGACCCATTGATAATTATTAACTTTTGCTTGTGGCTATTGAGCCAGTTATTTATCCACCTTACAGGAGCTTTATCTAGTCCACATTTCTCCCAACTATTTATGAGAAGCTCATACAGGACCTTGTCCAAAGCCTTGCTTAAGTCCAGATACACTATGTCCACTGCATTCTCTTCATACACCCAAGTAGTTACATTGTCAAAGAAGGAGATCAAGTTTGTTTGACACTATTAGTTTTTCATAAATCCATGCTGGCTGCTTGTGATCAGCCTTTCCTCCTCCAGATGCTTGCAAATGGCTTTCCTTGGGATATGCTCCATTAACTTCCCAAGTATTGAGGCAAGGCTAATCAATTTGTAATTCCCTGGGTCCTCCTCCTGTCTTTTTAAAGAGGGGCACTATACTGGCCTTTTTCCAGTTCTCTGGTATGTACCCAGTCTCCCACAACTTCATGAAGATCATTGCCAAGGTCGCCAAGATCTCCTTTGCCAGGTTCCTTCAGTATCCTGGGATGAAATTCATTTGCTAATTTGAATTAATTCAGGCACAAGATAAGCTCTTTGACTATGTCTTTTGTTATTTCTTCCCTCAGCTTGCCCCCTTCCTTATCCAGATAAACCTTTTTAGGTATCTACCTACAGCTTAATTTTTCTGTGAAGACTGCAGCAAAAAACAGCTGTTGAGTAGATTTGGCTTCTTTGCATCTTCTGTTAGGAGCTCCCCCAGCTTGTTGACATCTTCATGGGTCTTTTTCTGGCCAACACACTTACAGAGCTTTTCATTGTCCTTAACCTCCTTTGCCAGGTGCAGCTTGTTCTTTATCTCTTTGCCTCCCTGATGTTGTCCCTGCAGGCTCTTGCTATTTACTGGTATGCTTCCTTGGTGACCTGCCCATTCTTCCATTGCTTGTATGCTTTCCTTTTGCATTTGAGGAATTTTAGAAGCTTTGTGTACAGCCACATTGGTCTCTTGCCTTTCTTCTTGTGCTTCCATCATGTTGGGACAGTTTCATGTTGGCTTCCAAATACTGTGCCTTTTAGCACCTTGCGGCATTTCTGGGCATCTTTATCCTTCAATTTATCCTCCCATGACACCAGGCATATTAACTACCAAAGCTGGATGAAACCTGTCTTTTTGAGATCTAGTGTCCTAATTTTCCTAACCTGTCTGTAATTCTATTGTATTGTAATTGCTTCCTCCAACGTTACCTACCACCTTCACATCCTCCAATAATTCTTCCCTGTTGGTCAGGACAAGACCCAAGATAGATGATTCCCTAGGAGGAGTTGGCATCCTCCACTTTCTAAAACAGAAAGTTGTCCTCCATACAAGTTTGGAACTGACTTAATATTATATTTGGCTGCAGCGTTCTTCCAGCAGATGTCAGGAAAATTGAAGTTTCCCATCAATACCATCCCACAACTTTTGGATAGATCTGTCACCTGCTTGAAGAGTACCTCCTGATT